GAATGTGTGTGTGAATGGGTGGATGACTGGATATGTAAAGCGCTTTGGGGTCCTTAGGGACTAGTAAAGCGCTATATAAATACAGGCCATTTACCATTTATTTGTTTATGACAGAGTATGATGGGACATAAAAACAGCTTCTTGAACATTAGTTTAGATTTAGTGTTGGATGGTTCAGGCTTTCAGAGATTTAGGAGGAGAACGTCAGGGGTCCCCTGTATTTTTTAGAAACAAATAATAACAGATAAGGAATAAGATGAGTTTGTAGCTGCCCAGTTTTACTCATATTTTTCTATAATTTTCATTATTAGAAAATAAAAACACTGTAGTTTGTATTCTGTAATCAAAATTCTTGAGCCAGTATTGTGCTGTAGTTATCAAAACAACAAATTACTACTTCTGCATTAATCTCTTATTTGCATATGAAGAGTTTTTTTCTTTTTTAATAATGCTTCAATGTTCTGCTTCACTTTAATTGCATTGGAAAGGTTGTTGTTGTTCTTATTAAAGGTTATTATCACTGAATGAAAATCATATTTCAAAAATATAAATTAAGGCACTTAATTTGTTGTTTAACGAATTCATCTTTTAAAGCGAAACTTCTACATGCGTCTTTTAGTGCATTTTCCACACAAGTCTTGACGTCCAGGAGACGGTTTCACAATCAGTAAGGAAGCGACCGGAAACATTACAAATGATGAAAGCAGAGTTTGAAATGAAACTCTGAACAAACTGATAAATGAGACCCGTTTAAATGTCACCTGATACCATTTGCATCTTCTTGGTGGTTCTGTGAACATCATGGCTTTTGCCAACAAAGGGAAGTGACATTTAAAGGTTGGATATGACCTTTACAGTAATAGAAATCCTCACACTTGTGTCTTGGAAGAGGCTAAGGATTTAGCAGGGTGATACGTCTGCTAAGAGCTTTCACTGGATATATTTCTCTCATTTTTTATCCTTATATAACAAAGACATCAATTGATTTGGTGAAGAATATCGGAAGTGAGAGGATGTTGCAGAAAAAAGAGAGAGGTGTGCACAGTGTTGCCTGAGGAAGCTCCTAAAGATCGATTACTTGGAGCCAAGAAGTGTGCAGGCTGCTTTTGTCTTTTTTGGGTTACCTAAAAAAATCCAGGATGCTTATACCCTCCACTGCGTGGTTAACCTTAGTAATAATTTCTCACTGTCATATATTAATAACAAATCCTGCTCATAGTCATTTCTCGGTGAGCAGACATGGTTTGTTTTTGATGCAGCTCATGTATTGACGTTCCTGACTTGCCAGATTTTTTATTTATTTATTTTGTTTTTTGCATTTTTACACACTAATAAATCAAGTTAACTAGAAGAGTTGCAACTTGGCATGTTCAGTGAAAGTACAGAGTACTTCTCTTTTACCACAGCATACTCGTGTTCATAAAGTATTTCAAACCAAAAAATAAATATGCACAAGTGATTGCAGAAGGTCCTGATCATGATGGAGGAGGCAGCTGAGTGGTCTGCTTGTAGAAGTGTGTGTGTGTGTGTTTGTGTGTGTGTGCGTGCATCACATAATTGGGTTTAATCCATTTGTTTGAAACTACCACAGGTGTATGTGTTGTGTGTTTGCATGTGTGTGGCTACTCTGTGGGTAATGTGCTTCAGAGTATGTGTGGGAGTTTGCATGGGAGTGCTGAGAGTGCTTATGAGCTGCCTGTGGAGTGTGTGGGTGTCTGTGGATTTGAGGAGGTTTGGTTCTTGATGACAGTTTGCATGTGGACAGATCAGACTTTATCCAGCAATGTCCTCTTCCTCCTCCTGGAGCATCACGTGAATGTAGTTCATCCACTGTGTCCTTTTAGAAAACCTGACATTGTAAAATGAAAGCCGAAGACGCCTCTGGCTCTTGCTGTCATTGCATTGAATGTTAAACTATTAAAAAGCTTTTCTGGTTGTAATTCTTGGTTCCCACTGGTGTGAAATGTTGGCAGCTACAGGAGTTTTATTTTAGACGAACATGAAAACTGTTGGATCTCCTCAACCAGTTGTCATCTTTTAACTGTTTTTTGAGGAGTTGAAGCCAATTGCTTTTCTTACACTGATTAAAGCGAAATGCAATTTTCATTGTGCCTTTTCTTTTGCATTCACCAGTGACTGGAGAATCAATTTTTAATTAAATCTAATTAAATCTCTGAATTACTGCTGATACGGAGTACCCATCCAATACCAGAATTAAATTGAGCTTTACTCCTCACTCTGAGAAGGATAATGGGAGCCAATCAGTTTTGCCTGAAGCAACATGAGGCATGGTTTAAACACTTCACACGACAAAGTGTTAAATATGTGCATAACTAGTAAAACCTAATTTAGTTATTTTAGTAAAGCAGGATCAAGAAAAGTAAAAGAAAAACATTTTTGCTCCACTCGTCACACAGAAGGAGCTCTGCTCTCAGCTGTTGGAGAGGACTAACTCAAACATACGCTTGTTGCAACCCAGACGTTGTACCTTAAAGCTGATTGGCTACAGCAGCAGAAGACCACACTGGATGCCACTTCTGTCATATGAGAACAGACACAGGAACTGAGAGTACATCTCACTCAGGCTCAACAAAAATGGACAATAGATGAATGATTTGATCAGAAATCTGCCATCTCTTAGTACCAACTGAGCATCATTTAAATG